AGTAGGGCTCCTGGATATATATGTAGATCTATACATATATCTAAACATCGATATAGGAGCTACCGTCATCTTATGTTCTGAGAAATGTTGTTGATATAAAAAGGGTTTGGTGGACACAACAGCAAAAAATCTGTTATCCGTTCATATTGGCTCCGACATTTTAAATATCTAGTTAATTTAGATTCATCAGGAAAGAGATATGACGCAACGGATATTTTCGAGGAATTCCAACAATCGACACATTTTTGTCGGAGAGAAAAAAAGGAGAGCTGTCTTTCGCATTTGAAATACATTTGAATTTCTGCGATGCTTTCCAATAACAAAGTGAATGAATCAACCAAGAGTGTTGTCTGTAAAATAAATTAAAACACTCAAAAATGTATCCAAAAAGCCACCAGATGGCACAACAGAGCTTCTAGATCTAAAAAAAATCCGAGGGGGTATGCCCCTGTACCCCCCTAGAATGGCTTCGCGCCTTCGGCGCTCGCATTCGCAACTTCGGTGCGACTTTCTGCAAGCCCAGCTACGCGCCGGCCTCCCATACCCTCCCCCTCCTCGCGCTACGCGCTTCGGTGTGTTGCCTTCGGCAGCACATTTCATCATTGGGCTTACACATTGAAAACCCGTTTGTTACGCCCCTGAACATACCCCTAAAAATTATTAAAACTTAAAAAATATATATATCCAAAAAATGAGTACCCCTAACCTAACATAATAATTTTTTTTTTTTTTTTTTATCAAGTGTCACATATTGATCTACATATAAAACAGATAAAATGTACATAAAATTAGATCAATATCCGGCCAATGAGACACTTACTTTGTTCTATGCCGTCTTTGCGTATTGCAGAGTTATCTTCTCTTGGGAGCAGGTATTGAATGTTACGTCAACTGTTTGTGAGAGTAACGTCATCAATTTTTGAGAAAACGACTGTGAAACCAGTGAAGGTAGTGACGTGTAATTACCTGTTACCCTATAACAGAGACTATACTTTTAGTTCACAGTGTCCGACTGTCCTTTTTCAATCACGTAGTTTTATTTATTAAAAAAATAAGTATAATGTAAAAATATTCTAACTAATTAAGTGTTTATTTCACTCACATACATTGTTTGGGCAACGACCCATCTGTTTCGAGATTACTATTTAGAACGTAAACAGCAAATATAACCAATATAAGGTAGGTAATTTTCACCCAAGAAGTAATTTCTAACAACATTTTATATATAAGTTTCATTCCGATACATTTAGCAGGAACATGTACACATCTGTGTGAATTTATTTGTTGATCTCTGTACTCGAATGAAATGAAAAATGCCATAGGATTGGGCATCAGGCTTGGACTTCTTCCTCATAAAATATAGAAACATAGACCGGTATAGCTCACTGATACATGTAACCACAGAAAATATATATGAGAATCCTATGAAAGAGATTATAACCAAAGATTCTGCTTTTTTTTTTAGACAATGATATTGATTTCATTTGCATTTGGTGTTTTTTTTATAAAACTCATCGCAAAACATTCTACATGAAACCTAGTGATTTAGATCGTGTCGTTTTTAGTTCCTGGTCAGTTAAAAAGATGCAGGTGAACATATTTTAAATATTAAAAAACACAAATAGTTCATTCGCAAGACTTTTCAATGACGTGTACAATTGTATACAGGTTCATAAAAAATAGCATACAGTTTAGGAAATTTCCACTGTAATTACATTCTTAATTCTGATACACGTTGCTATATTTGATCACCATTTTCGTTCACAGATATATTTTTACTTGCAAGGTGTATTATAGAGTCATTTCTAATAAATCGTCTCCTTATTAGCTCACCAGGTCCAAAGGACCAAGGTGAGCTTATGCCATACCGTGGCGTCCGTCGTCCGTCCGTCGTCCGTCCGTCAACAATTTCTTTAAACGACTTCTTCTTCTTCTTAACCACTTATTGGAATTTAACTAAATTTAACTGGAAGCATCCGTAGGTGGTGATGATTCAAAATTGTACAAATGATGGGGCTGACCCCCCAGGGGGCTGAGGGCTGGGCCAAAAGGGGGCAATTTGGCTTTATTGCTATAAACAACTTCTTCCGTAAAACTATACCATGGATATTGATCATATTTGGTCGGAAGCATTCATGGGAGGCAGGGATTCAAAATTGTACAAATGTAAGGTCTGACCCCCCGGGCTAGGGGTGGGGCCAAAAATATTTTTTTTTACTTTGAAATGGTTGAGATCCCCACCATATTACCATTTATACAATTGCTGAGTATAACGAGAGGAATGCACATTTGCTTCCAGGATGGCTCTAGGGTCTGGCCCCACCCTTGGAGACTTAACCCCTGGATCATAACTTTGAAACGGTTCAGATCCCAACCCCAAAACTTTGTATACAATTGTTGGGCATAAAGAGACGAATGCAGTCATGGTATTAGAATTGACCCAAGGGTCTGCCCCACCCTTGCAGACATAACCCCTGGGTCATAATTTTGAAACGGTTGAGATCCCCACCCCAAAACTATATATACAAATGCTGGGCAAAAAGAGACAAATGCAGTCATGATATTATAATTTATCCTAGGGTCTGGCCACAACCCTAGGGACCTAGTTTCTGAGTCACGGCTTGGAAACAGTTGAGATCCCCCCCCCATAACCATACATAAAATTGCTGGGCATAAAAAATCAAATACAGATATGCTACAAGGATTGGCCTTGAGGTCTGGCATATTCCCTTGGATCTCCTTTGGAGAATATTTTGTCATGATTGCTTAGATATCCAGGTGAGCGATACAGGCCCTCTGGGCCTCTTGTATATTGTACAAGTTCTAGGTCAACTGACCCTAACAAGCGGTGCACGTACGTGCCCAATTTGAAAATATAACACGTGTGGTATGCATCTGTTGATAATATTTGTTTAATATTGGAACAAAATTTGACGTGGTTAAAAATAGTGTTGTCTAAGTCCGTGATAAAACTGTTCAATTGATTCCAGAAGTCATGTTTGTATTGGTTTTGATTTCAATTTTATGTCGCTATGTTTTATCGAACAAAAATTCGCACATGTAGAGCAAACAATAACATGATGATGGATCTTTAGTGAGAAATGACTGAAGGTTTAGTAGCCCAGAAGACGACCTGTAATCTGAATATTACAAGGAAAAAACCCCACTTATATGCAGGGATATGTACATTAAAAGTGAATTTAAATTCCAAGTTAATAATATTGCCTCGTGCACATATAGATCGAATACCTCAACAATATCTTATCCCTCGCGCGCTTCCATCTGGGCCAACATACAGGTAACTTGACTAACTTCGCAATTGTAAAACATACGAAGATCTTTATAATATTGGTGTTAAATCAAGTCCTATCGAGGGATATCAACCACTCTTTCAATTTCTTTGGCCAAATGTACTTCACAAGTGCTGTAAACTATATTTCTCGATCTCTTGAATTTAATATTGTTGTAAGAATTAAATAAAATTACGTTTTCATGACATGTCTTTAGCTCCACCCATTTTTGATTTGGTAATCAGTATAGGCAACCAATGGTAAACTCCGAATTCACTTGGCTGCTGTGAGTCGCTACATTGTTTGTCTAGTGTCACTGTGTCACGTCAACACGATACATGGTTTTGATTTAAAAACATTTTGAATAATTTTCACCTTTTAAATACATTGTGTTTTGTAATTTTTAGACAAAAAATGAAATTGTAACATCGTTTGTTATGTGTCAATTTCATATGGTATTTAATAGTATGTTACATCGTGTATGCATTCTTTTGTAAAAACTGTAACAATACAATCTGCAAAGATTACACTATATTTGATAAATTGAGATTTATATAAAAATTTGAATCGTCTCTAATCATCGGCTATACGAGACATACATATACTGTATGATTCATAAATGAAATACTAGTCTTCCATATTGTGTTTAAACAAAGATTCTGTTAGTGTGCACTGTTCAATGACATAGGAAGTGGCGTAATATATATACATTGTTGCGAAAATCATTGGCGGACAGATGAGTAACTCCGCCCTCAGTTTGACTGACAGACTAGGCATGGAAAATACTAGCAAAATGTGAATGGCTGAAGTCCACGTGCACTAGCTGTTTTTTTAAAATTATTACCGCTTTGGTGCATGCTCGTCCGTGCGCGCGCGTGCGTCCGTCTTGTATGTTTACTTTTCACATACATGTATAAAATATTACAGTATACGCAAATGTAAATTATTTGAAATTAAATTTCGACTTTTCTTCAATCGGTGCATCGGAATAGTTAATGTTTTGGCTCTACTGTACCTAAACTTGTTTTGAAAGGTACTCGATCTTGTGTGACTACATGCAGAGAAGTGAGAGAATCTCTACCAATAATCGCCCCATTAAAATGGAATTAAATGACATTAGTTTCGTATACGTTAACAATATAGCAAATGGATTGTCACAATAACAGTAATATTAGATAACAGTACTGAAAAATAACCAATTCTGTCTATCGAAACTTCGATTTTTTACACATAATAAAGCGAGTGTATGTATGAGCTGTATTTCAGATTCCATATTCAGGAATTACCTTTTCTTAGTATGTATAAACTTGTACAATTAATATGTGTTGATAATATTATTGATCAGCGTAAGCTGACTAGATGTATATTTGAGTTTAATAAAGTAAGAATGTGACTTAAAACAATTTAACACATGTACATGTATATCAATATAATACCCATGTATGTGTTAATGATGATGATGATGATGATGAATACATCATTTGCAAATTAATTTGATCGAATAACTTGATATGTGTTACGTACCACTCGACAACCCGTTAAATGTAAAGTAAACATAGTTTTTTGTGCTACATGTAATTAAACCATGCGCACAAACCATTTGTTAATATGTTAAATTGAATAAATTACTAATGAAATCATTCAAGCGGTTAATTTAAGAAATTTTAGTTAAGAACCAATTTAATACGATATACTGTATTTTTTTTCCAGAGCAAGACGGGGAAACCGTTATCCACGGTTTCAGGAGTGGTGACTCCTCCATGTTTTTATAGCGACTCGGACGACGTTGCTCCAGGTTTCACGATGGCGAGCATCATCACGACATTATCTAGCTTCATGACCGCTATTGCTGACACTGCCACCATCACCACAGCCGCAACCGTCCACAACACCATACCCTCTGTTACCTCTGTCGCCAACAACACTAGACCTTCTGCTGCCGCCAACAACACCGCCAACAACATCAGACCCTCTACTGCCGACCACAACACCAGACCCCCTGCCGACCACAACACCAGACCCTCTACTGCCGACCACAACACCAGACCCTCTACTGCCTTTGCCGACCTCCTCACTAGACCTTCTGCTGCCGCCAACAACACCGCCAACAACACCAGACCCTCTACTGCCGCCCACAACAACATACCCTTTGCTGCCGCTGTCGACCACAACACCAGACCCACTGCCGACCACAACACTAGACCTTCTGCTGCCGACCCCAACACCAGACCCTCTGCTGCCGGTTCCGATGTAACGCTCCAGCCAGTGAGACATATGCAAGGACTTCCTAATACAGATGTGTTATCCTTCATGAACGCTATGTCGCAACAGGTTGCCAATTTGCAGAGATGTATGGAAACATTTTCGCGGAAGACGGACACAATCAACCAGCGACTGGCAGAGTGCATCCGTGACCTATCCAGAATCGAGGGCAAGGTCGATGCCATATCTACTGCTACCATTAATCCACCAGCAGACAGACCGATCACGGAAGCAGCGGAACAGCATGACGTGCCGGAGCAATTCCATATACCGATGGAATCCTTGATGGAGATGCGACAAATGTCGGGAATTTCGCAGCCCAGCTTACGAGGAGGCTTTTTCCAGAGTTGTTCGGACCAACTGCATTGAGGCTTTTGTACAACTGGTATGGCGGCGGTAAGCTTGGGAAACAGGAACTAGACCCACAGCGGAAGTCAGTTATACAACGGTACGCCTCACAGATGTTTCCAAGTGTGTCCTCTCGTGAGGCATGGAAAGACTGCGTCGTTCCGAAAATCAACGAACTCCTGCGACGAACGGATAGGGCAAGGACTGTTGCACGGGTTCCATTCCATAACATCCACGGACAATCCCATGCCATTGGAATGACTATGACGACGGAAAATACTCCACCTGCGCCGACACCAAGACGCCCAGTAGCAGTACCCTGTTACAGCTCCTCCACCATGACTCCCACAGGGCCCAGTTTTTACACGCCACATTCGGTACCCCAACGACATCTGCCATTTTACGATTATGGACACACAGAGGATATGGACAATTACTGATAAGACAGTTGGGATTATGTCAAGTTAACGTCACGCTACCACAATTGGTATAATTTTGACAGCATTTTAGAGATCTTTAAAAAATCAGATCTTGAATCTGGAATGTAATTTGTTTTAGAAAATAGAACACTAAACTTGTGAGATTTTGGCCGTTTTTCGACCGTAAACACATGTATACCCAAATTGTTACACCATATCACAGGCTATGGAATTTGTTTTTATTTTACAAATTGAATTGTCGATTACAACAAAATATATTGCTTTTAAAGATACCATACTGAACTATTATTGTATATATTCACTTTTATATTATCCGAATATAAGGACCAGAAATCAACATTTAAACATGCTTATATTAAACCCCTTGAAAATCCTCCAAAATTTCGTCCACGTACGTCGTTTTCTGATATGATACTACAGATCATATGATAATGACAGAGCATTGTCTGTCGTATATATTTTCATGTTGACATTGTATTTCTATTTTTTTTTTCGTTGGTTTTCAAATACCAAATTAACTGACAGTCCTTTTTGCTTAATAATTGTAGAATTAACTCATTTTAATTATTGAATTACAGAGGAAATGATCTACATGTACTACAAAGAATTTAAATCTTTCGGTTAGCAAACAATGAGCAACTCCAAGGTCTACTGTATGTATAGGTTAGCAGATTCACAAAAACGTGCTATTCGGGTGTAAAATTAGAAAAAATAATAACGAAATTATAAAGAAATTAAATTGCAAATTTCTTATTTTCGGAATAAATAAGATTAATACTTTTGATTTGAGTATTTGTTCGTGTGAGTTCCTAAAGAAAGACAAATCAGTGTGTTGTGATCATTGCGTCATTATTAATTTCTTTTCCTGTAATTTCAACTGATTTTTTTCAATTTCTTATTATGCAGGTAATTCGTCATTTTGCCTATACATCGCTACATGTTTATGTATATTTTTCAGGTTATCAATTTGTTATTTTTGAAGTAAATTGTAATATGTTGTTCCTTGTTATTTTTGCAATAAAATTTCATTTTTCCGCATCTTTCTTTAACGGTTTCTTTATCAGCCCACCATCAACAGGGCCCGGTTGTTCCAAATGTGATAAGCTTAATCAGTGATTAGTGTAAACTTTATTTTGTGTGTGTGTGTGTGTGTTTCAAACAGACGATCATTAATTGAATTAAAACTTTCCATCTTGCAAACATTTTAACATAGTAAAATAACAACGATATTCTACCTTGTAATGTTAACCTAATTATCAAAGGTTTAAAAATGTTGTTAATTGGCATTTATGTAATCGCAATCAAGATAACATTGCCGAGGAGTTACCTCCCGTCTCTTGTTAGTATGTTGTTTGTGTATCGTATACAGACATGTATATGTTACTTTCTGTGTTCTGTATGCATGTCATGAGGGATCACTCTCCACATATGTATGTAATATTATGTATTATATTTATGTATGCCTATGGGTCGTAAGGCCCCCGGAATAAAACTTGATTAACCTTATCACCTTTTGAACAACTGGGCCTAGATGTTATAGTCAAGGTTTAGCCACTGGACACCGCCTCAACTACGGTTACATACATTTAACGAAATCAATCATCCACTCTCAACTGATTTACTTTTGTTCGGTAATAATGAGCTTACAGATGACGAAAATGCCTTAATTTTTTCATCTGTACAAAACTTCATCCATTCTAAAAGATTTGACTTTGACTTGACCCCCCCCCCCGTACCCTGTACCCCTTTTCTTTTACTCTCATTTCAAATATCCCTTGAACTACGTTTAACAGTAAGCTACTGTTTAAGTGTTTACATTTCTTTTCATAGAATTCAGTAACTATACCATCATGCCCTAAATTAATGAGATACATTCTCGGAAACGGATTTATATAAGTTATTTCAACTTGTTTCCGGATCCCATTCCTCTATACTTTGTATGTAATGCAACTTAATTTGGAATGAAATAAAGTTTATATTAAACAATTGTCCATGATTAGTCGTCACTACATCCGTCCGTCGTCCGTCCGAAAACTATCATCTCTTGTGGGGCCGCGATGGCACAATCGGTAGTGCGTTAGTCTACTTCACCTCAGGTGATGATCTGAAATGCGTGGTCCGACGCAGTTTTAAAAGTAGTTTTAAAAACTATTGAAATATTATATCACTTACTGATCGAGAAGAATTTGTCTTTAATCAGTAGCGTGCAACAAATATTAACCCAGTCTAAACATAGATTTAACATGCATATGCTTACAGCGGATGGTCGTGGTCCCTAACGATACAAATCAAATTGTCGCCCCTCCCCCATTGACTGACCAGTCCATACCTGAAAAAGTCTTATCTACCTGTACACACTGTATACAAACCCCCTGATGTGGTAATGACCAAGTCTACTAATTATAAGCGAAGTTAATAAACGTTACACAATAATTTCTTCGCACACGACAGTTATCAGCTTTGAAGTTACTGTCATAAAAACGTGCTCATCTGTTGTAACACCTGTCATTGAAAAACAGTAGGGAGTATAAAAGTCTTGAGTCGAACACATTCGAGCTGTACTTCATGGGGCGCAAAATGATGTTAAAAGGACAATAGTCTGTTGTAGAGGAGTTAACCTGTACTTACCTGTATTTTGCTTTCACCTGTGGAAGCATGTGCTGTCTTAGGTATTTAGTTATCTGGTGTAATAAATGATTTCATATTGGATATTAGGATTTTTTTCAATATAAATATCATATAAATAATTAAACATGTCAACAGCTAAAATTAAAGGATATGTATTTAATATATTCAAAAATACATTTGTTCTCGTAGCAGCGTCGTAATAAAGGCTCTACAGAACTTATGTTGAATGTAGATGTTTTCAATTTAATTTACACAGTATATTTCTAAACTTTGAAGAAGTTGGTTTTGTGTTGGAACGTATCATACGCGTATCTTGTTACGTGGTAATTACTTGTTACGTTCTATGAACACATTAGGTTAATTTTATTACAGGAACTACCCGTATAAGCACAAGTTTGTTTTAAAACATCACGGTAATAACCTCAGTCTCTGTCAACTTCCAATATAACGGTGTTCGAACACTGGCCGGGTGAGTCATATATTCATCTACAGAATTAGATATCCTTCTAAAAACATTTTTTTCTGTAACCCGTCATTGTTTTTCTTCACATTCTTGGTGTACATTCCGGTAGAATTTTTTTATCGTCAAACACCTAAATTGCGTTGATCAATTACTTTAAAAAATCCACTTCATCATACAGGGCGCCCATTTGCTTTGTTTTTATCATAACCAATTGAGGTGATAAATTGAAGGAAATACCAAAAACAAGATCTATATTGAACATTGAAAACGGCCGGTACAATAACAAAGAAAGGAAAACAAATGAATGCGTTGTGTATGTGATGAAATAGAAGATATTTTTTTTCATACTTATATGTGAATACTATATACTGATCTAAGGAAGAGACTAATTCAAAATATTACTATAGTCGACCTAGCATGTTTAACCTTTATTCAATGTTACCAAATTTAGCAAAATTATTAAAATGTCTAAGAGTAATATAGATGTGCAGATCCGGGTCACTGGCTATCAATGTCAGTCAGTTGTAGGGGTGTGGCTTACCATTAGTCCATTATCGAGGATCCAGCGATCAACCCGTCACGGCCGACTGCGTCAATGATTGTGTACACTTGTGTGTCTTACCACGGAATTAGATTATTATTGTTATCTAAGTCCGTGGTCTTACTCTATGTGCTTTTTTTTTACATTGTTTGTGGATTTACCGCACGAAATGACAATGAACGCACTGTTGTTTATCTATTATTGTAGAAAATACAAAAATTCCTGGTACACTTCTTAAACCGACCCAGTTTTGTGTTCCGAATGTGAAAACCGGCCATTACCTCAGCTAATGTGATTCAACACCCGTGTCGTAAGCCTAAGCATTGTTCCCCGGGTCATACGCAAGTGATAGATATATTTGTACACAACACCTACCCGATATGGTGGATTTTTATTCAATCAAATCGTGAACTTGTGTATAATCAACACAGTTAAGATGAAAAAAACAACAAGCCAAATTGTCAAGCTTCATTGAACGGTACGCTAGTCAAAGTTAAGTTTCTTACAAATCTACATTCTATACATTCCATTGCCAATGTGTAAGCGTACCTGTTTACATATGTAATATACAAAACGTCATCCGATCAATTACCTCCTGTGCATAACTGATCAAATTAGAACACTTCCTCCAAACCGAACCCTCTCTAATCCGAGTAAATATCCATATACCATGTATGATCGGGTTAGAGAAATTCCACTGTGCATAAAAAACGGACGAGCTATATATACATACAGAAAAACAGTCAGGCAATACACATAGTACAGAACATAGGGTTCCCAAGTCTCTGTGACAGGTACATGTCGTAATAAGTTTGTTGCCTTACCGAACAATATGCAAAATATTTCTGTTATATCAGTATAACAACTTTATTACATATTTGTATTACAGTAGTAGTTATAAACTCGCAACAAATAGAGCAAAGTAATGACCTAGAATGTTTCATATTCAAATGCGGCAAAATGGGAGGTATATTTCTATAAGTTGGTTGTTTTTAATACGATACTCTTAATTCAAGTGCTGATAATTAATTTATCCCTCGCACGTACTTAGCCTAATCGAGGTCCGGTAATCGGAACACGATCATAAAAGTAATGGATGATATTGGACAGTACCAAATCTTGAAATCAAGGGATTTTGACATTTTAAGTTGGTTGTGGCCATTCCTTATATGAAGCGATCATACTACAGATGACGCATAGGAAGTACGTGTAGTATAACCTTATAATCTTATTAATCTATATAATTGGTAACTATTAAATTTTCCTTTGTTATAAGTGTGATTTATTTTTTTATATCAACACTATTTTTTTTTACTGCACCATCTACGAATTGCTCAGATTCATTGTCAGACTATATTCTTTTTACATATAACCATCGCATTGGTTCACATCACAACGAAACATTCAAGTCATGACAGATGGTTTGAAACATGTACATGCAATGTAAATTTTACATTTCCATATACGTGTATGCGTAATCTTAAGTTGACAATGCGCTCAAACAACAAGTCTCCGAAAAAGATACAATGTTGTACACTGCTTCTGAAATCAAGGACGACCAATCGACGAGCCAGATGCAGTGAGTGACACGCTGAAACAACCGTTCGGTTGGTGGGCGTGTTC